CACACACACACACACACACACACACACACACACACACACACACACACCAGGGGTCAGAAACTAAAATGGTTCAAAAAGTGGTTTTTGCATCGGTGAATACATCATTTTCAGTTTCATTTTTTTACGTGGAGGAACATCACAGCACCAGGACAAAAATCTACTGCCTGAATAGGTTTGGAATAGTTTTTGGGGAGGGGTGGCAATATTCAATACTGTTAATGTGTATATACTGTCTGACTAGGTTTTGAGGTAGTTTCTGGCAGCAATATTGAATACTGTTAATGTACATACTGTCTGAGTAGGTTCGGTCTAGTTTTTGGTAGCGGCTCACAATCTTGAATACTGTTAATATAAAAAAACTGATGTTCTCCCACGGAAAAAAAGAGTTAAATATGATGTATTCGCCGAGATCGGTGCCTAGAACCACTTTTTGGACTATTTCAGTTTTTGACTCATGTGGGCCAAGGTGTTAAAGGTCAATCTGGCGACCATTGCAATCCCCAGATCGAGTTCTACCTATGACAAAAGAATCATCCCGATCTGTGGACGGTCCATTTTCTTAAATCCAACCCTTCGTTTCCTTCCACAATCAAAGTCACATAAAACTGACAAAAGTATCCCAGTCAAGCCGTTCTAACAAGCATCTAACATCGTTCAAAGTGTCACTTCACAGAGCCTGTACCTCTGTCGCCAATTATTCCAAGAGCTGTCCTAACGCCAGCTACCGAGAATCGGCACGAATTTTCCGGACAGCCCGACACATGTTCGCTAGCTCGCGAGGCGGTCGAATCATTTCGCGTCGTGGCATTCATTATAAATCATCGTTGTCCGCGACCGTGGAAAATTCTAATCGGAGCGTAAGTGACCGCGTTTTAAAAAGTTTACCCGCCTATTAATAACCGAAACCGACGCGTACGAAGTTTGTTTCCGCGGTTACAGTTTGCCCGCGAAGTTATATTTATCGCGGATGGAGATCGAAAGTAAAACGAAAGAAGAAGAAAAAAAAAAAAAGAAACCAAAGGAACAGATATAGCCACCGAAACGACCGTGTTTTGTTCGAACGACAGAACGAAATGATCCGATCGCTTCCGACCCCGATGAGCCCGTGTGTTATGTAAAGTAAAATCGGAAATTGTGTGTGTGACATTGTAGGATGAAGAGAAAAAAGACAGCAGAAAATTCGAGAAAAATGATGAAATACCTAGCGAATTCGAGTGTTGCTTTTGTACTACGAAGGTATTTACGATCACTAACGTTCTTCCTTAGGCGGCACTACATACACCAATGGGCTGTCTAGGGAGTTGATATCGGAAATGGGACAAACCTCTACGTTTATTTAATTTTCATATATCACTCTTTTCGTTCAATTCCATTTCTTTCTTTCTCGTCGATTTTTCCTTCGATCGTATGTACGTATATACGTTTAAACAAAAAAAGAAAAAAAAAAAAAGAATGAAATTTTTTCCATCTTATCTCGCCTGGATACACCGTTCGAGATCGCGAGGGGATTCCGTCTCTCGTTCGTCCTCGTGGCTTACGTTTTGTCTGTCCGTCGTTGTTTACGTTCTACATGCCAATGCACGGTGTTCGTATATAGTCCACTGGGTGTATGCACTGCCTCCACCTCACCCACGACCCACCCACCCCCAAAGACCCTCGTTCACCTCTTCAAACACCGCCACCGCCTCCCCTCCCCTCCCCTACTCACCCCTCCCCTCCTGCCCCTGAACAAAGCACAAGTTTTCCATTGACACGATACCAGTTCATTCAAAGCTTTAGACGCAACGTAGCTCGTCCATTAATTTCGTTTGCGTGTATACTCGCAGTATCGTAGGTCAAAGCGCAGGCATCGTTTGTTGACGGCAATTCGCGTTAGAAGCGAGAATACGATGCTTTTCAGCTTTGGGCAAACCTTTTCACTTAACACTTTACCGACCGTTAGCGCTTTGGACGTGTAATTACATTAGATATAGTATAAACTGGACTTTTGCATTTAATTGACAAAAAAAAAAATGAAAAGCGTCTTTGAAACGATGCTAATAGATGAAATAAACATTGTGTGTGATACTAACGTTAGGAAAATAACAAAAATTAACAGATACCGGCGACACTTTGAAGCTTGATTATTCGTGTTTCAATTTTCACGTGGTTATAAAAGTAACGATTTCTTAACATTTTAATCGATTCCAATAGGAGCTACAGCCATTCGTGTACTGAATATTTGTCCTGAATATTTAAGCCGTGCTCTTTAAGAATGTACTTAGAAACATTAATTCCTAGCATAAACAAAAAGGAAAAACAATAGTCTTTAACATGAAAATCATAGTACACGAGAATGTATGTACTATATACAGACATATTTCTTATTTTTGTTTTGTTTTAATAAAATTCCATACGGACAGATTCTCTTTCAGATAATTCGAAAATTTAGTATATAAAAATGAAAACACTGTAATACGAGAAAAGTATTTCAAATAAAGGAAATAGCTTCGTATTCGCCGTGAGGAACTAATCGTGATAAAAATTTGGAATTTTCAGAACTCGTTCCTGTCACTACAAGTAGTAACTCTGCCAAATTTCAAATCGTTTCGTCAATTTTTAACCTAGCTGTACAAAAAAAAAAAAAAAAAAAAAAAACACAGAAGTAACCGACTGGAAAAAATTGCATGCATTGGTTTGGGGCACGTGTTGATATTAAAATTAACCAGCCAGATTTCGCGGGAATTTTTTTCTATGTATTTTCAAGATATCCGGGGGGCGATAGATTCAAACAATCGTTGAACTAAGGACCACCCTAATAATCATACACGTTACACCGTTTAGAGGATGATACACGCTTTCATTTGAGTTTCGATTCTTTTTCTGTACATGTGAAAACATGAATTTGCGTAAATATCCGCAGTTTAGCGAACGCCCTCTGTTTCCACGATCTTTGTATACATAATCGCCGTAAAATGATTTTTTTCTTTTATTAAATATGAACGCGATCTGTAGCACGAACGTAACCAACGAGCAAATAATATCAAGATTAAACAGCACGAAAGATGAACAGCTTTCAGTTTATTACTGTTTTTTTTAAATAAAATATCGCAGTTGAAATTATAAAGTGAACGAGGTAGCTTAACGCTAAAACTACTGTACTTTTTGAAAATAGATCGAACATATCGCGTACTCGGTTCCCTGATCCAACAATTGTCAAATCGTTGGCAAATCGTTATTGATACAGTCAAGTTTCCATAAAAGCACTGAAACTATCCCCACCACGGGGGGGGGGGGGCAAAGGGGGGCCATGGAGTTCGATCGCCGAGCAGTGTAAACATAATCTGCGATCGGATTCCTCGGTGCGACAATTTAATATAACGGTGAAACTTTTTTATTATTAACTTTTTTGTTCTAAAACTTTGACCATCGTGTTCCTGACAATTTTTCTGATTTAAATGAGACCAAACACGACGTAACTCGCAACATATTTACTTGTAACAACTTATTATCTGTCATATGTAGAAACACTAACTAAAAAACAAATGCATGGTAAATATCGTCCGAATTATATCGTGTTTGGTCTCATTTTAATCAGAAAAATGTCAGGAATATGATGATAAAAATGTTACAACTACATTGAATCACCGACATACCCTGGTGTTTTCGCTCCGTCTTCCTTTATTCGCTGTCCTTTTCTCTACGTTCGAAGCTCGTCGGCAAATATCGGAGAATATACGAAGTCTACCGATAAATGCATTAGTTCACGGATCGTCGTGCGGGGCTTGGCGCGAAAGGGTTAAAAAGATGAAAGTCCAATTTCTTAGTAGTTCTAGCGTTAACGATCAAAATCGCTTTTTAACGATAAAAATTGGTTGTTCATCGTTCGAACGAAACATTGCCCTCTGAATAAGATCTCGTATCGTGCAATGGATCTTCACGACGCAACGCTTACTTTCATTTACTCCATCCTGTCAGCATGCGTTCTTTAGAAACAGAAAGACTCGAATAACAAAAGCACGTGACAATGCACACAGGTTTTTGCGATGATCATGTTATGTACGAATAGCGTAACCTCTGCATCTCCGTTAGGCAATTTACTGGCTAAAAGCTTGGGAACGATTTAACAAAACTATTAGCGAACGTTGTTTTCCTTAAGTTTTCTCGCACCTAATTACAGGCCCGCGTATCGCGCGTAACCGTATCCTCGTCTAACCTACTTAATACGGTCGCGCGAATACGTTCTGGAACACATCAGGCGAGTATTAACGATACGAACGTAGAAAGGCCACGTCGATTAGATTCGATTACTTAGAAAGCACACAACGATTTATTTCTTTTCTACTTTTTCCCCTTACTCTCTTAGACCGTAGCACACGAAGGAAACCGTTCTCTCGACTCGACGAACGAGCGCGGATTTCCCCCATCTCGGGGGAAAGTTAAATTCACTGTCGAAATTGTTTGGTTTTAGCCCTCCAGTGCGTGGAAAGTTTTGTCCACGGAATTATTAAAAGTGCCCTCGGCGCACAGAAAGTCTTTCTACGAATTATTAAACGCAAAACACTTTTTACAAAATTAAGAACACTTTTAATAAAATTATAATGGTAACGGCAATATGGAAAAGTTGATTAGCAGCGGGAATTATACGTTGGATAGTAAATGTACGTGTTCTCGGGATGGAAAAAGTCGTGTAACGATTAATATTTGCTTTTAACGAAAAAATATAATCGTATAACGTTCTGAAACGTCCAAAAGGAAACGTATTTGTTTCCTTCGCACCTGTTCAAACCCCACGACCATAATTCGTTATGCGGGAACTACAGGTGGCTGACATGTATGATTTATCGTTTCTTACGATGAAGCAGCACGAACGTGAAATATATTTGCTGAGACGTAACGGGATTAAATAAATTACACCTGTGCCACGAGGAGGGAGTTGAATCAATTGTTTTTTGTGCGATAAAACATAGATTTACTTACTCGATACAAAAAATAATTAGAAAGAAATAATTAAGGAATAGGATAAATTAGAATAAATTGTGACGGACTTTACACGACACTGGGGAAGTAGACCAACACTTCGTACACTACGCGAAAACTGTTTGACCTCGTCCAAATATAATTAACAATACCATAAAATTTCATACTTGATTTAGTAGTCGAAATGTATTGTACTTTTATTTGACACGCGCTTGGCGATAGGTTGAATTTCTTGTCGCGCTTATAAGAATTTGTAGAATATTTTTCTTGTTACGTAGATATACACAGGGTGTCACAGAATTCGTGTAAGAACCGAAAATAGGTTCTGAACAACAATTTCCTCCGAAATGTTAGCGGGGGCTTCGTTTTTGAATTATTAACGAAAAACCACTTTCGCGCGCTGTGATTGGTCCGTGGTTTTTCGTGAATAATTCAAAAACGATGGACATTTCTGCAAAGGAAATTCTCCTTCAGAATTGTCTCAGCTACCCCTCATTTCCGTTTCTTACACTAATTCCGGGACATCCTGTACAACCTCCAACAACTAATCGATCTCAGTCATAATCAATGAATCGCGATATCGATTTATCGTGTGTTCCTACCCGATTCCGTCGGGAAAAATGCTCTCGTTCGTCGAAGAATACGTAGGGTGTCGATCCCGTGTCGAAGACGACGCTTCGAGGGGGCGGATCGTCTTCGGCAAACCGAGACTTTTCACGTTGGGTCGTGTTTCTAGGAGTACAAAGACTTCAGAGACGCGGAAAATATAATGCCGCTGGCGACCAGCGACTTTCGTAACCCCATCTGCCAGGAAATGAGATCGCTAAGATCGGGGATGTCGTTGGAGCAACCGATCCAGTCGATGTTCACCGAGACGAAGACGTCTCCTGTCCAAGCGTTGGAGAACATCGGTTACGGGAGGCCGTACAACGAGCAAGGAAGCGTGGACAGCTCCGACACGTATGCCAGCTGTCAGACGCATCCGTCACAATCGCAGGTACTCCACGGAATCGATGGACACGCGAATCTAGATTAACCGCTGGCCGATTAGCTTCCCGGAATATGCTGGACGTAGAACCGTCGACGTTCTTCTCGTTCCTTCATTATCGTCTTGTTCGCGACGAAAGGACGGTACGCGGCATTTTTATTTCTACTCGAAGAGAAACATTTTCGAACGAGAAAAGCGTAGAAAATTAAATATTATTATTTTATCTTATTCCAATCGCGTATTTTAAGAAAATGTTTCTCTACACATCGAGAAATGTTGAATACCGTTCTATCGTTCTTTATCATCCGCAATGCGATGTGACTAAATTTATTTGCATAATTCTGCAATATGTATGATTTTCACTTGTTCGAGAGTAATCGTCCCTATTCGTGCGTCGAGTTACGTTTTTCTGTGCTATACTTTCGTTTCCGTTCTAGCGGCACTGTCGTAGTTGATTTCCGTAGTTGATGTTCCAAAAACGAATGGCGAGAACGAATACTAATTATTATAGGTTTCTTCTGCTGGCCATACGGCGGATAACAATAAGGTACAATATCTGTATTTAATTAAAAGTCGTAAAAATGATCGTCCAAACGAAATCGGACGTTTTCTATTCCGATACGTACATACGTCAACGCACGTTGAGTAGATAGACGAATATCGGGTTATTCGGATGTTAGCCATTTAGAAAGAAACATGCATCCCACTTAATAGTAAGTATACATAGTAGCGTGATTGGTCGGTGTTTTTAGTTAATAATTCTACAAGAATTACAAAATTGTTGTAGGTCCTTGAAAAGGGTGGTTCGGGGGGTGATTTGAAACAACTTTTTCCTTAGCGAAAATGTTGTACCGAGGCTTCGTTAAAGGGTTAGTCGCAGTCAGGAAAATGGAAACGGACAGTTTCTTGCGTGTGTACTTTTTAAAGTATTAAATAATCATTTTTATTAATGAAATGTAAATATATTACAAAGTATGTCTTGAAGAACTATAAAAGAATTTTTGTTTTAAAGAAAAGGTTAATTCATTTCGTCGTAACAGGCGATGGCGTGGGTGGCCAGTTGGTTTGCGGTGAGCAAGATTTCTTCAAACTGGTGCACCTGAAAACAAAACTAAAGGTAGATTTAGAAAATATATTAGACTAACGGGTCCCTGATCGAAGGATTTTTTATTTTCTTGTATACTTTCCTTTTTATCCTGTATTGAATCGCTTAATTTTAGTGAAAAAATTGAAAATCAACTTCAAATGTACGCCATCTTGTTTTAAATGAATTCTTTCCAAAATCCTTCGTTCAGAGACTCGCTAGACTAATATATTTTCGAAATCTACCTTTGTTGTTGTTTTCAGGTAAACCAGTGTAGAGAAATCTTGCTCACCGCAAACCTATGTTTTTAAATCATCGTCTACGTCATCGGCTCTTATAACGATATCAATTAAACGTTTATAAAAATAAAAAATGTTTTTTAGTTCTTTAAAATATGCTTTATAATATACTTAATCGTTACTTCTGCAAATTATTATTTAATAACTAAACATAAATTAATCACAAAGAAATGTTGTTTTTCCTCTTCCTGACTGCGACTAACCCCGTAAGGAGAAATTAATAGAAAAGCCCCGACCAATCAGAGCGCGAGTATGCCGGTGGAGCGCCCGCAGTAGCGTAGACTACGCGCTAGGCACCGCGTTCTGATTGGTCGGGGCTTTTCTATTAACACTATACCGATCGGTAGCCGATTAATCGGCTTCTTGTACCCAACGCTCACCGACCCGGTAGTCGATTAATCGACTTTTTGTCCCCAACGCTCACGACCGGTAACTGCTATGGTAACTAGCAAGTATTTGTTACTTTGAATTGAGATACAAGTTGCTTTGCTCTGTAAGCTTTCGTATTTTTATACAATTCCCGGTGCCAGGGAAGATATGCTGTCGAGCGGCCGGTGAGAAGGGCATAGGATCTTGAACCGCTACCAGTCGGTAAACTGTTAATATCTCCTTAACGAAGCCGCGTCAACATTTTCCCTAAGGAAAAAGTTGTTTCAAATCACCACCCCAAACCGCCCTTTTCAAGGATGTCCAACATTTTTGGAACACCCTGTATATCTTTTCGATATATTTCAGCGTTTGCCAATATTTTACTTCTCCTTTGCGCTTTCTGTCTCTCATGCAATCACTCCGACATATTTTCAAAGCGAACGAAATAAACATCGACACACGCACGCGCCTGGAACAACGTCGAAGAACGTTATCCAAGAGCGAATCCGCTTTCTACAAATATACTCGTGTCGTTTATAGCACGATAAACGTCGCGGAGGAAGGTCTTCGAAAATGGACGCAAAAAGTAATCGAATTTAGAGCCTGCTTAGAAAGGAACAGAGATTGAATCTTATTTTCCTTTTTTTTTTCTCGTGTATCTTAATCCTTGAGCTGCGAGACGTTGTAATCAATCGCTGGTAATAAATCAAATAGTAAAGGGAAAGTAACGTTGATCAATGGGAAAATGTGTGTCTGTATATAAAAATTTAGTGATTCGGTCACAGTGGCGCTTGGATTGGCAATGAATCGCTTCGATTTTCCATTCGGACCACGTGATCGCTCGTCAAATTTCACACATTTTCCATGCTCGACATTATTTTCTATCCCCGCTAGTTCTCGAAATTTTGGAGTTTTACTTTGGTAAACGCTCCTAACGATTTTCAAGATTAACACTTTCGCTGCGGACGAAAATAAGTAGCCTTTCGCTGGGACCTGCGATTATGATATTTTTTTTATAATGACAAAATTTCTTACAAATGTTCTAATATGATTATTTTGAAAAACATATATTTATGGTAACTTATTTTATATACAGGGTGTCCCAGCCTTACCGATACAGTACTCAAGATTTTTCCTTGAAAATTAGCAAACTTTGAAGCGTTATAGCTTGAAAACTAATAAAAATCGGGTAAATGCATTAAAGCATAATGAATTCGTCTTGAAAAGCACTATCGCATGGTTTAAAAAAAAATATATATAGTTCCATTTAAACACCGAAACTTGACCATCATATCTCGTTAAATAACAAAGTTAACAAAAATTCCTTCTCGCTGAAACATGAGGCCCACTTTACCATGCAATTTCCATATTTGAAATTTTTCATTCAACCGATAGTTTTGGAGTTAGAGCGCTGTATCACTAAGGCTGGGACACCCTGTATAATATGATTGCCGAAGAAAAAAAATGAAAACTGAAAAATAATAAAACCAACCATATATCTTCGGTTGGACGCACATGTGCGTCATCCGCAGCGAAAGTGTTAATATTCCCTGAAATTATAAATATTTCCCGCGTCGTAGCAATAAATATCATTCCACGTTTTCGACCCGTTTTTAAACGCGCAATCACTCCGTCGAATTTCGGAATTACTTGGACTGTATAAATACTCGTCTGGCGGCTAAAGGTTAAACAAGCTGATCCGATTGAATCGTTACCGGGTGATAGGGCGCCCCGGCTACCGAGGCATAGCGTCGCGACGATCAACGTCGTGATTCGATTGCGATAATTCGCAGGGCGACCTCACCGAGGAGCCGGACACTAATAATCTCTACGTGAACCCCCTGGAGGCTGCCGAGAAGTGCGGAAACAGGGTAAAGAAATCCGTTTCCGGCGAGGTCGGTCACAACGTTAGCGACGCGTCGCCCAGCGTCGAGTCGCTGAAGGACGTCAGACCGTCGAACGAGGGTAGCAAAGTTATCCTGAACGACACGGTGCCCAAGCACAGGAAAATTCGTATCCAGCAGGTGAGCTTTTCTCGGGAGGATACTTTGGGTAAATTTCAACGATTTATCGATAGGTAACCGATCGATATTCTTTATTAACGAAATAGCATCGTACGGCGACCAAACGCGTCGAAAGAAACGCGAACTCAGGCTTCCAGAACGTTCAGAAATTGGTCTCTCAGCTCTCTGACGAGCCAATGAACAATCGGACGCCCCGTTCCGATTTCCACTCAGCTCTGACGGCGAAACAAATCACTGCTTTTTTCAGTTTCACGAACCGTCGGGATCGCAAACGGAGCACAGTTGAGCAAATACGCACGAGGCCGATCGTACGTTACCGAATACGGTCCCGGTGCTTGCCAGAAGGGGGTTGCACACACACGAATCTTGCACGCAACCGTGACCAAAGAAACGAACGAAAACACAGAGGTGCACGTTTTGCCCCGACCAGGGGCGTCCTTTCTATCGATTAAACGGGGCACAGTTGCAGCGTAACCGACTTGACGTGCACGGGTCGAAGAACGATTTCCGGTATCGTTGATTTTTTCCCCACACGAACACTAACGCTTCGATAATGCCTCCACGTTCATCGACACTGACCCCGCTTATTTGCATCCCGATCGCGTGCATAACCCACTCGAACGGGCCAGGCGATCGAATTGCTCCGAAATAGAATCTTCTTTTCGACTTAAGAGTTTGCCCTAATTTTTCGTTCGACAGTTTCGAGACAAATTTCATCATTTCTTTTTCATGGGCAAAATACTTGACCTAAACTTTTGAAACTTGCTATATATTTATTCGTACATGTACATACAAGACTTTGCTAAGTTTACAATTGTTTTGGTCAATTTCTTTCGGAATTACGGTGCGATGCTCATGTCAAGGGGGATGAGTATAGAACGTTAAGAGGATCCTCTTTTATTTTTACCAGTCTCGTGGCAATTTCCATGATTTTTTTATGGTTAATGTGTATATTATTTGTTCGACACTTTCAAGACAAACTTCACGATTTTTTTTTTTTTTATGGGCAAAGTACTTGACCTAAACTTTTGAAACTTGCTATATATTTATTCGTACATGTACATACAAGACTTTGCTAAGTTTACAATTGTTTTGGTCAATTTCTTTCGGAATTACGGTGCGATGCTCATGTCAAGGGGGATGAGTTTAGAACGTTGAGAGGGTCCTCTTTTATTTTTACCAGTCTCGTGGCAATTTCCATGATTTTTCTTTTATGGTTAACGTGTATATTAAAATGTAATATGTTACCCTATAACGGCGATGTGTATATAATCCGTTTGCGCGTGTGTGTGTGTGTGTTAAAAAGTACTATTGTTTGTTGTAACGTTGCGTGATTGGTTATACAACGTGGGTGATTGCAGAGCGTGAGACTACGCACGCAATTTATCAGCGACCAGGAGTGCCTGGGGGGTCGTGGTGTCACAAAAGAGGACACCACGGAGAACAATAATTACTACAGTGGACTCCGCGGGGGCAGACCATTCGCGACGACCAATAGCAGCCTAGCGTCGGCCACCAGAATTCTCAATCATCATCTGTTTGGGTCCAGTTGTGGGCCCAGGCACTATACAGGTACGCAACAGAACCATCGACAACGATGAAAACAGCGCACATCCTTTACCCTTTTGAAAATCACTTGTATTGGGTTGTCCAGAAAGTTCGTGGCAATTTTTTACACTTTATTTACCGGGTGCCTATTTTTAAGCTTTTTAATCGCAGTATTTAGCTATTCGAATTTATTCACTGTGTTGATGGTTGTCTACTTACCATGTTCAGTGTTTGGAAACAGACTTGGCTTTCAATGTACCCGGTAACAGTATGGAGGAATTATTGTCAGCCTAGATTGGTGTATGATACTGTAGCAAATTCATTTTTGAATTAAAGTCTGTTTCTAAATAGCCCGGTAGATAAAGTGTTAAGAAAAATTCAAAGGCAAATTTGAATATATACATGGTGTCCCAGCCTAAGTGATACAGAGCTCTAACTCCAAAATTATCGGTCAAATGCAAAATTTCAAATATGGAAATTGCATGGTAAATTGAGGATCATGTTTCAGCGAGAAGGTATTTTTGTTAATTTTGTTATTTAACGAGATATGATGGTCAAGTTTCGTTTTTTCAAATCGAACTATATATTTTTCTTTTATACCGTTGCAATTTTATCATGCAATTTCCATATTTGAAATTTTGCATTCGGCCGATAGTTTTGGAGCTAGAGGTCTGTATCACTTAGGCTGGGACACCCTGTATACCAGAGATGGGCAAAACCTCAAGCTTCGAAAATGTGTTCCTCTCTTTGGAGAATGTTCAAAAGAAGAAACGAGACTAACGTATCGTCAAACTTCAGATTTATTCGAAGCATAGGGTTTCGCCTATCACTGCTGTACAGGGTTTGAATAATAATCAATTACAATTTTTTAATTAAATAATCGATTTAAACAAATGTAATTCGATCAAGTTAATTAATAAATATTTTGAATAAATGTATTTAAAAATGATTTAATTAAAATTAAACTAACATAAGCAGAGTTAATCGAAAGTCGTTTAATTGACGATTGATATGAGCGAATTTAATCGAAGATATTTTATTTACGATTGATATGAGCAAATTTAATCGAAGATATTTAATTGACGATTAATTTAAGCAGAACTAATTCAAAGCCATTTAATTGACGATTGATTTAAGCAGAATTCATTCAAAGGCATTTAATTGACGATTGCTTTGAGCAGAATTAATTCAAGCTATTTAATTGACGATTTGTTTATATCTTTAATGTTAAAAGATATTTATATAAAATTTAACTAATTGTATAAGTAATACATATAAGGTTCTTAGATGCTAATCATGAATTAATTCTGCTTAAAGTAATCGTCAATTAAATATCTTCGATTAAATTTCCTCATATCAATTGTCAATTAAACGACTTTCGATTAATTCTGCTTAATTCAATTTTAATTAAATAATTTTTAATTACATTGTTTGTAATTAATTGTCAATTAAAGACGGAAATTAATTTTAAAAGTAATTAATTTTACTCGCAACCATGGTGCTGTACATGCATACATATACATGACCGAAGGGAAATTTCAGGAACGAGCACGGAGAGCAAGCTTTCCCTGTCCGCCGATTCCATAGACAGCGAGGGTGTGCCTTTCATAGACAGACACCGTGTCTCGAAGTCGATACTGAAGAAATCGGAGAGCAGCAATAATTATTACAGCAACGCGGGCGATTCGGACACGGAGAAGCTGATCACCGACAACGCATCCACGATAAGCATGTGCGATAACGAGACGAGCACGTGCAGCATGAAGCAGCCGGTTTCGCCGTTGCTCTCTAGACAGGTCCTCGAGTCGATCTTCCGTACGAACAATAACGTCGAGAGGGAGGACGAGGTGGATCAGACCGAGGAAAAGAACAGCCTATCCAAGATGAGCAGGTCGATATTCGACAACGTGCTCGAAGGTGACTGGTTTCTCTTTCTTCCTTCTTTCTTTGCTCTTCGTTTTAGGGAAAACAAAGGAGAAATTTAGCGAATGTAAGTCGTGTAGAAATTATTTCTAGGCTTTTACATTTAACCTTTTGCACTTGAAGCCTTTTTTTCTGGTATCTAGATGGAGATGGAGATGTTTCTTAGCATTCTATTACCATGAATTCTAAGCCATCTAGATTTGAGAATAAGGTCACCTTCACCTCACCGACAATCATTTTATTGACACTTCGAGCTCCAAAGAAATTAAACCTAAACAAATTTACAGACTTCGCGCACACGCAAGAGTTGGAGAGATCGAAAATCTAACTAACTAATAACAGCTACGGCTCCTTGATGTTGTCCCTGCTAATCTAAATCTAATTTCACTTATCACTTTACACTACACTTTTGCACCTTACACTTTTCCATTTTTCACTTTTCCACTTTCCGCTTTTCCACTGTACACTTTTGCACCTTACA